GCCTGCGTTTATACTTTGCGGCAGCGTCTACCATTACCACCAGCGATCACTAGTGTTCCGAGCATCAGCGGCTAGGAAAGTATAGATACCGACCTGGTGTCTACCAGCGTCTGCCAGCCCAGCGACCGGGAGTAGAGAGTACGGGTAAGTAAGAGAGTATAGACGTCGTAAAATGGCGACGTGTGCAACCGCGCCGTAAAACCACACTACGCCGTACATCAAACTGCATAATTCTGTGCAGTTGTGCGGTGCGGTTGCACTTGCCGCAGTTTCACGTCTAATCCAGGTATTTTCGACCCTACTACTTCCCCATACTCTCTAGTCCCAGTCACTGGTGCACGCTGGCTGAAGCTGGCAGACGCTAGTCGATATCTATACTTCCATGATGCCTATACCAACAAAAACAACTACACAGACAGGATGTTCTTACTAAACCCGTAAACTGCAGGTACTCCTTCAAGACACTATGTTGAAATGACAGTTTTCAGTTTATTTTATGTTTATTGGCGGAATTCTATCCTTCTGTGCTCTCGTTGATCAGCAGTGCTTCGACTTTCGAGTGCTTATACCTGCAATTGTCAGCAGGTTCAGCAATAAGGTGAGTTGTAGACATGCGCTAAGAATGCGTCAATGATTTGCGGCAGCGTTACCAGCGACTACGCGTTCCAAGCGTCCAGCAGCGTCAGCGACTAGGAAAGTATAGACACCAGTCTGACGTCTGCTAGCGTCTACCAGCGTTGGCGGGCTCAAGGAGAGAGGGTATCGATCTAGCGTCTATCAGCGTCTACCAACGTCCACCAGCGACCGGAAGTAGAGAGTATGGGGAAGTAAGAGGGTAGCAAACAGCTGGATCTCGTCGTGAAGTCGCGCCGTGTGCAAATGCACCACACAACTGCAAGAAGGGGGCTAATGCCGTTTGGACTCCAGAAATTTCGTCTTCGAGCTCATTTTCAAATTGCCTAAGTCACCAAATCCACTAAAAACTTGTATATAGGGGTAATTCAACATCCTGATTACGAGTATGACACTCATTCTTGGCGCTGGCGCCAAGAGAGGACATTACCTCCTGGGCTCAGCCTTAGCAGAGCGCAGGTAACCGTAGTGTCATCCATTAGCGCCAGCGCCAAAAATGAATGTCATATTCGTGATCAGGATGTTGAATTACCCCTATATACAAGTTTTTAGCGGATTTGGTGATCTTGCCACTTTTAAAATGAGCTCGAAGACGAAATTTCTGGAGTCCAAACGGCATTAGCCCAAGAAGGGGTAATTGTATTCCGCCGAAGTATTGCACCAAGAAGCACCTTAGGTACCGGAATAGCGCCTGCGTGGCTTTATCCTTTGTAATAATACCGAATGTTTCATCACCGTTCAACATAACATAGAACACATTTCAAGAGTGTAAGAGTAATCTGTTTTTTTTTCCTGCAGAAAGTTGATATGACTTTCTGTGCAGAAAAAAAGGAGCTACTATGTTCACAACAAAACAATCAAATATGGAATTTTATAGCAGCATTTCTATGTTGCGTTTTAACTTTTGCAGGTGAGATTCATTTGAATTCTTCACTCCCAGAGTTGAATGAATATTCCTTCTTTTCAGCTATATTGTT